CGACGAGGGTATCGATCCCTCTACCTCTCGCATGCTAAGCGAGCGCTCTACCATTTGAGCTAGACGCCCTGTGCGGTCACCTATCTCTGAATGCCAAAATCCCCGTATCGTGTGCTGACTTTGCACAGGAGACCCGACTGCGCAAGTTCATCTAAAAAGTGTTCTTTCAAGATAGTTATGCTCAGGAGAGTGCTGCAAGCCATACGGCAGCGCGATGAGGATCGGCTCTCGATACCGAAGAGCCAAGAGGCTGTGCCCCGAGCACCTGTGGGGCGGAATCAAGCCAGCGGCACAGCCGGCCTGCTACAGCGAAGGCTGCAGTAGCAACTGCACCTGCCACACTGGTAGCCAGATGTACGGCAAAATAACCGCAACGGCCACGGTGGTAGACAGCGATACGGCAAAATGTATTCGATGTAGGCCTAGCAACATCTGCAAGCGGCAACCACCGTTGCTCCGTCTGTTATCCTCAGATCTACACGCCTCGCACAGGTCTGTGCCCCACTCTATGGTTCTTAGCATCCTTGGGAAAAGTGCGCAGAAAGTTAGAGCGGTTTCAGGCTCCACTGAGACAGAGTCCATTCAACTACAGTGTATTGAACACGGAACAGCACGAAAGGCTTTAACTCGTATGGGGCTGACACTGGCCAGCTTGCCCGTCTACGCAGTGGCGCAATCTCTGAGGCTACGCTTTGCCGACGACAGGCAGAAGAAAAGAATCGGCAAAAGTACCGGCGTAAAATACCCTCTTAGTTCCAAAACGGGGCACATTAATGTGCCGAGGGGCTTTTACGTCGGAGCAGTTCATCACAACATAGCGACCCAGGGGGAGGTGCAAGTGCGTTCCCCTGATGACGCCATAGAGGTGTCTCCGCCAGGAACTGATGAGATTGCGCTCCTTTCAGCGCTCGCAACGGCATGTGCATCTTCTATAGCAAGAAGAGTGGAGAGGCTGTTCCAAGGAAAGCGGAGCGAGGAGGCTCACATGCAGTGCAGCGGCACTAAAGGGAACGGCGGAGACATGCATGCATTCCGTCGTGACGGTCTGCTAAAGACCGCAGTCTTGGGGGAGTCGATCCAGTTAACACACGACGAACAGTAGAAATAGGCAAAATCGAAGGAAGAGGTTTTAGATGTACTCGGTAATAAGGAGCTACCAGCGGGCAGGCTACCCGCTAGACACCAATGCACCGCATCCAACTCATTCCTGGCGCAGCCGCAAGCGCAAGCTTCTTTCCAAGGTACCGGCGCCCCCACATCTTGAAGAGAAAATAGNTCCTGGCGCAGCCGCAAGCGCAAGCTTCTTTCCAAGGTACCGGCGCCCCCACATCTTGAAGAGAAAATAGAAGGGGAGGCGGATGAACTTCTAAGAAAGGGCAACGTTTAGTCGTCAGCAACACTGGATTGGGCACAACCCGGTGTTGGTGAAGAATAAGGATTGCAGGTGGCGTCGGTTTGACTTCCCCTCAACATGAGGATCTCATCATACTATTAACATCGCTTTCCTAAAACAGTTTTGGGCATCCTCGCAGTTCTCATGCGCTATGGCGGTGAAACTGCAGCAACGCCACCTTAAGAAGCCACACACGGAGGATACAGGGATTCTAGTGGCGGGGCTGACCACTCGCAACGGCCTTGCTATGCATTGTGCAAAGTGGGCGGGCAGACGTGAACCTGAGTGGCTTTCAAAAGACCTTAGGGGAAGCGACACCGCGGGGACATTTCTGGGCTCTCCTGCGCCACCCACCAGACATCGTCGGCTTCGGCGAGCCCGACGCCAGACGCCAGATGATCTTCTGTGCGCAGCGTTCTACGCATGGCAAGCGTGGGAAAGCTTCTGTTTTTTCTGTCGGGGCTCAGGGGCTATTTACTTATCTAAGACATATTTTTGCTCTCTTCAGGCTACAACAGGCCACAAATTGTATTGTAATGCAAAGAAATAAATAAACACTGAACCGAATCTCCATGCAATCAGCGGGTTCTCAATCCCATATGGGGATCCGTCGGGTGAGTCGTCTCCAGATTCGGTTCAGTGTCCATTTATTTCGTTGCATTACAATAAAATGCTCAAGAAGTCGCTCGGCAACATGCTAAGCGTCGAGCAGGGGCCTTAGCCGGCTTCCTGTGTGTGTGTACATCTGTGTGTGGGGGGCGGAGGGGGATCGAGGCGGAGTGCAAGTGAGTGGGAGAGCTCAACGTAAGGGGCGATCCCTAGGTCTGTACTGCAACGCCTGGCACCATGGCAGTGTCAGCTAGGCCGGATACATAGAAAGTAACAAACGGTTAGTCTAAGCATCCTAGAAGCAGTGTAGTAGGATGGGAAGCAGCTATATCAGTGAAGTAGCGAGGCCGCGAAAGTGTGCAGGACTCGCCAGCAGGCAGTTCGCGTACCCCCTGGCGCTGTTGCGACGAACACAGCCCGCAACCATTCGGGATACCTTACGATAGGTTCGGATATATATTCTCTAGCTTAGATACCAACATACCCCTTACCGAGGACCCACAGACGATTTCTCCCTTCAACGTTACGGCTTACTAGCGAGTGGTATGCAACTGGTCAAGCGCCTCAGAGGCCGGAGACGCACAGTGAAATAATATACCGGGCTTCTAGTTTCTCCTCTTGTACATCTCCATAGATTTCCTCTCGAGAATTATTATTTATAGACTGCACCAGTGGTGCCAGTGGCACTGGCCCCCTCTTCTCTGGGAATTTAGGTGACGCTTGCTTTGCATGAACCCAAGGGCACTGCGTGTAGAGAGCAGCGGTCTCTGCTGTTGCTGCATATGTATCCTAGGTCTTTCTAGCTGGCTGCACACTCTATAACTATACCCTCGGAGCAACAGATTACCACTATCAATCTAACTATATAATAAATACTTGTCTCTACAACATATTCAAGCCCTGAAATCCTAAAGAGGAAATCCACGAATCCTATGCTTTGTGTCTCCATCTCCTGGGGGAGAAAAAAGCTCTTCACTCTTAAGCAACGAATACCCCCAAAACCTAAACCTTAAACCCTAAACATGAATCCGTGCCCGTCGCAGCATGTAAACGAAAACCCCCACACGAGAATTTTGTTTCAGCTGGCTGTCACGGCAACACTAGTAGCGGGCTGTTTAAGTTCTTAGGGGCGAGCTGAGCGCGGCCGCATATATAAAATAAAAGATAGCGAAGTGAAAACCCCAGCAACGCGAAATTTTTGTCGCTGCACTTCGCGTTGCGCTTGACTATTGGCTGGCTTGGCTTCACCTGCCGGTGGTAGCACCATGGTGTTTTTTGTGTGTGTGTAGCTGTCTGGGGCTCCTGCGGTGTATCAACGGAACTCCTATTGCATGCATACAAACATATGCATGCGTGCATGCATCGGTGCATGCATGCATGCATGCGTGCATGCATGGGTGCATGGATCTGTCGTTGCAGTTCTCGTGAAGAAGACACAGGCAGGAAGAGTAAGGAGCATCTGCCCCTCTATTGTGTTTCTTCTTGATAACCCCATCGAGGGTTTAGAGATTAGGGTTTAGGGTTTAGGGTTTAGAGTTGTAACGGCGTCTGACGAAGCAACTATAAAAACGAGTTGTGGGGCTGGCGGGGGTAGTCTCCGCGAGCTGTGTGTCTCCTTTTTCTTTGTATAAAGGAGACACG